CAATTAGAGGTCAAATGAAGAATTGACCTTGAATAACCTTGAGCACTTGAACTTATCGTTGTGCAATCTGAATAAGCTTATGGTTCAAGTCTGAAGTCTGTAGCACTAACCGTTCGTGAGTTATGCCAGCATGCAGCCGTAAAATGATGATGGTATAGCCATTCCTACTTCAGAAGAGTGATTTCACCGTTGTCTAGTTAGCTTATCAAAATTCCTTCTATTAATTTTTGAGCATAAATTTTTTACGATTTTCAAATTAATGATTACGTTTATTCTTATAAATTTTTCACTCATTTCCAGCTTTATTGCTCAGTGAGTCCATTTATTTGCAATTTATAATGATTGTATTTACATTTTTTCAAAAATATTATTTACGGTGGAAAATATTGACATGTAACTCTGTCGGCTTGGAAAGACAATTAGTTCAATAATAAAGAGTATATATTAGCAAAAAAGGCAAGAAAATTAAAATTTTCATAACAAAAATATTAATCAGATGAATTAAAAAATTAATGTAAAAGTATTTTTACGCCGAAAAAAAGGTTTTGTTCACAAAAAAATTAGTAACTACAGTCACCATTGAGATAATGCACCATCGAGATAATGCACTCATTTTTTCAATGGTCCCTATTGAGGAGGAGTTATATCGTCTTTTGAATTTCGTCAAATTTTGATTCGATTTCTTTAATTATCAATTGATTTAATTCAATTTCCTTTCGTGAAATTTAAATCCACAAACTGGCAAAAGTAAATTAAAGCAAAATTAAAGGTTAAATTTGATCTAATAAGGAAGATTGAAAATCATGAATTACGCTGCCCGAAGAATAGTGAAAATAAGCTATTCCCAGTGCGGTGCATTATCTCAATGGTGACTGTAGACGTTAGCCAAAATAAATGGTCAAAGTAATATTGATGACATTTTTGATTGAGATGATGACACAAAATAATGATGATATAAAATATTACAAGTACCTTGTTTTAAAAAACCCTGTTATGCTGTTATAAGGAATGTTATACGTGAAGTTAGTTACTTTAGAGTCTTGGCGACGTTTTGAGTACATTGTTCGACTAAATTTGTGTGCGTGTCCTAAGTCCAGGGGAGAAGAGGGATGATGATGGATATGATGATGTAAAGAGGTGTGATAAGGCGAAGCAACATCTTTGTAAGGTGTTCTTGGAATGTATTGTATTTTAATTAAAAATAGTAATGAATTGCAGTCACTGAGAAGCAAGTAAAACAATGAAAAGCAGAAAAATGAAAAAATCTTAAAAAAATTGTGAATCACTTTCCAGTGACTTCAATAGATTTCAATGCAGAATCTTAACTTTAAAGTGCCTAAATATCAATAACCGCGCACCGGCGTAAAAAAAGCAAAAATACGTGTCTAATTATTTTTTGCCCTCTACAATATAAACTCGAAAAAAATCGAAAATGATCGTACAAGCAAGGTCACTTTCCTTGTAAGTAAGCAATCAAGTAATCAATGTTTGAATATCTTTAATTTATCAACTACTCTTTGATTTGGATTAGCGAAGCTCTCAAATATTTGTTCTGTGATCGAAGTGAAATTATTTTTTTGTGTTAGTATTGACGAAAATTTCTCTCAATCCTTAATTTTGTTTGAAAGCAAACGTATTCAAAATTGTCTTCTGTGTTAAACTAAGCAAAGCTTTCAATCCAATTTCGCATTGTGTTTGCTATCGAACGCTTTCAAGATTGTGTTCAATAAAATATTGATGAGCGTTTGCTCTCAATTAGACCTTTGCTGAGCATTGCTCGCAAACACACCTTCATCACTAGAGCTTCAAATTCAAACACTCAGAATTAAACTATTAAAGATCACATTGACATTTGATTAAAAAATATTTGCCCTTAAGTAACTGAATCTGCGGAACTTCATTTTTTCCTGTCGTCCTGATATTTTACGCTTTAACCACCATCGCCTTTTAAATCTCAAAGTCAATTGTCGAGTCGAGTAGACCTGTCAAGCTCGACACATTGGGCAAGAGTTAAAAAATTGAAAATCAGGAAATTGCCCGAATCAACCTCGAGTTAGTTATTTCAAATTATTTGCTGTATCGGAAATGTCTGAGCAATTTAAATCACCTGAAGCTATTATAACAGTTGAGAAAGCAAATCATGAAAAGGTCGCGATAACTGCATTATTTGGTACAGGCGCTGACTCTACAGCGATTAAGACTGAAATTGCTAAGCATTTGGGAATGAAAATTTACAGATTTAAACAAAAATTTATGGAATTCGATACATCCATAATCGAATCTGTAGGAGTTACTCAAGCACGATTCAAACTTAAAGATCCACCTAAAGAAGACTTAATAAGAATTTATGTCTTCGATAAACTGAACTACGATTTAATCCTTGGTGCAAATTTTGCACATTGGAGTAGCACCTCAGCAATGGTGGTGAATCATTCCGAATGGGCATTATTTCATTACAATAAAGGAAGATCTACTCCATTCCAGTTAACAATTGAAGTTCCTGATAAAATAAGTTATGATGATATCTTCCGAAATCAATTCCTTAAAGTTTTTGGTCCTGAAATTGATGAAAAAACGGTGACAGGGCCTCAGCCCTCAACAAGTGCAAATTTCGATCAAAAGCCTAAACCAAAGAAACACGAAAATGAATATAAACTGAAAGAAAAGAAAAGAATTGAACAAAGGGCGAGAAAAATCAAAGAAAATCAAGAAATAACGCTCAACATTTCCTCCAAGTCAGGCAAAAAGTAATCGAAATCCTAAGAAAATATAAAAGAATAGTCTCAGGTCAAGTTCACGATTTCAAAGTCCTACTAATCAATCCAGTCGATGACAACTATCTCAGCAAAATCATTTGCGTTTCTTAAATACTCAAGTAAGTAAAGCAAGAATAAATCAATCAAAATAAAGGATTTACTCTAACGGACTCTTTAGGATTTTCTCAACAGTATTTAAGCAAGCCAAATTGAATTATGTGCTAAATCATATTTAATTGTATTAATTACTCTTTATAATACATACAGTACATTGGGTTCTTTATGAATTATTAATTCCTTTATTTATCCATTCACTAAGTCACCATTCGGTTGAATTTTAAAAGTTGTGTCAATAGATGATTCAATTGATCTAGGTTTATATTGGTCTTCAGATTGGACGTGTCTCTGATAGAAATGCCAGAAATTACAATTATTCTGCCAATCATCGGATAAAAACAGCGGTAAATGGGAAATGTCTAGAAAGGTGGAAATAAAAGTAAATATTGAAATGTTAGAAGAGTGATCATAAAAGGGCAAAATGTGAATTATTGTGAGGGTTAGGAATCCAAAACTGGTTTCAATGAAGCAAAGAGTAAATTACAAAAGCAATTGTGTTAAATTTGAAAATTTAAACCTTACCGATTCTCTCACCTAGAAACTTCCGGAGTTTGATTCCATCTGAAATGGTAAAAAAGGTAATAATAATAAAAGGTAGTTATAAAGATAATCATTTTAAAACATCTCTTATTCGGCTTTTCTTGTAATACAAAATATCATGAGCTTTCTCTTTCTTTCTTATCTTATTTCTTTGGGTTCATTTCCTGGTTTATAAATCTACTTACCAATAACATGTTCATTTAAATAAAGACATTAGGCGAGAAAACAAAAAACTCATAACTGTATTTGATTGAGAAAAGTAAATAAGCAAGCAAACAAAAGACCTTAACCTTACCTGCTTTTACCACCTTCATCTGTATCAACAATATTTTTAACAGCTTCTTCAGGCCATAACCGTGACTCTTTTAAGAGGTTTCATTTTTATCGCACTTTTTTTATACCATTTTGCGTTTCTTCAACCAACATTTGTAATAATAATTGAAATATAACATTCAATCTAGCCATCTACTGAGATACTCAGAAGTCCACTTCATGTTTATGTATTTTCTCACTGCTTGTTGCATTTCCCTGTTGTTTAGTTAACTTTTCAGATCAATCCTTTGATTTTCTTTTGTCCAGTTTCTGTCCATCCAAAAATAGTCCCAAGTAAGATCCATTTATATTAAATTGGTTGACAGCTGGTTAAGAAGTCCATCTTGTTAACCTGTAAGGGAATACACAAAGCAAAAGAAATGAATAAGTAAACAATGAATCTCACCAAATGACTACTTTACAATTAAATTGTAATAAAACTGTTTTACTGTTTTAATTACGATTATCAAAACCAACAGTTAACATTATGCTACATTAAATTTGAACAAAAATTGGAAACAATAAACTATTCAGAAAAATTTCTCATTTGGTATTTGAATCTAAGAAATGAAACAACTTGAAGTTATCACTGTGTGTAATTATACTCAAAGGTTCCCAAAAAAGGTTTAATTAAATAAATGATGATTGTTATACCAATGGTTGGTTGACTTTGATTGGTAAGGTAACTAAATTAGCTATGCAATATATTTAACTTTAATTAATTTCAGACTTAGGATAAATCTTAATTTAAATTGCTAGCGTAAAAAAACGATGATCTCTCATCGTAGCCAGTGATAATTTCAAGGGACTTTTACTGCTGCAGTAATGCTGAAGGGACGGTCTGTGAGAAGATCTTAATTACTCTCAGGTAGGTATTATAATTAAACGAATGTTATTTAATAGGGAAAATGAAGCAATTGAGCTGATAAATGAGACATGAAAATTAAAATTTGCTGCTTTGATTTTAATTTACACTAAAAAGCTAAAGAGGGAGAAGCTGAATTGAAAGCAAATTAAGAGGCATGAAAAAGTAAACCAGACTTAAAACAGAGAAGAAAATAGGAAGATGAAGAGAAGGCAAGAATAACAATGCTAATGAGGAGGTGGAGGAGGATAAGCTAACAAAGTTAGGACCACCTCGGTGGGCTCAGTGAAGTCTCTTGTCAAATTAACTTGGTGGCCATAATAAAGTCAACATTTGCTTTTCCTCCTTCGGAATAAATTTCATCAGCAATCCTCCGTTGGGTTCGCTTTTCCTATGTCAGACCAAAATCACGGGTAACAGAGTAACAGAGAAGATAGTTTAAGTTCACATTTAAGGTTACATTTAAGGTCACATTTAAAACCACATGCAAGACCACAACGAGGATCCAAAAGCCAACCAAGGCTTCAACAGTCAGAAGATGTTTGCTTTTGTTGATTCAAACATAATTTACATTTTGACTTATAAGTTGATTTTGATAAAATTGATGTAGATGATGGTGATTAAGTTGATTGTTACTGTTATAAAATTTCGTTACTTTCACTAAAGTAAAATAGAAAAAACCAGATAATTAAGATTTGTATTAATTGAAAAGACGCCTCAACACAACAGCAGTTTAACCCGCCAAACCGTATGTTAATGTCGCCAACTCTCTACATTGTTTAGCGGTCAATTTAAATATTGTGAGTGGGATTAAATTTTGCTCATTATTATTATTTTTATTGTACTTTCAGGTTGATTGTTTAATCTGCCAGTTTTGACAATCACTCTCTCTTCAAGTAACATACATATAATACTAGTTTGATTATGATTGAGATTGATTGAAGTGAAAACAAAAAATTGGTTGACCAAATAACAGCAAAATTTTTCACCATAATTTGAATGTAAATTAATTTCTGCTTTACCCTGATTGTTAACTATTATTAATATTATTTCAATTTGCTGTTACCATTTTCATCATGACCATCTTTGATGATAAAATTTCAACTGCAACTCATTTATCATGTAAACTGTGTTTATTTGCAATACTATTATTTCATTGAGTGTATGCTGTTCATGTTATGTACGTTTAACCATTCAAATGCCCACATACAGAGTAAAAGTTGAAAGTATCTTTAAGTTGATTCTCGATGATTGATTAACTTGAAATTTTAATTAACTAAACCTTAAATTCAATCAATGATGTCAATGGTAGCATTTATAAATCACGATCATTGGCAATTAAATGCGTCAACAAATGATACAAACCTCTCATCATTGAACCTCAAACAGAGTCCAATTCATTGTCTAAACCAATAGTAAAATTAAATATTGAATGTCTCTATTAACTGACCACAATTAGATAATCATTGCAATCACATTTCAGGTCAACCATCAGCAGGTCATTTCAATATCATACTTTGATTAACACATCGAGACGGTTGTAATAAATGTTAATTGTCATCCAGACTTGAATCGTCTGTCGCAGCTATTTCAAGTCTAATTGTGAAGCAATTTGCTCAACAATCGCATGTTGATCTTACAGTAATCATAATCATCATTCACCACGATTTACAGTTACATTATTTACTGTATCAATCATGATTATTGCGATGAGCAGCAAAGTAATCAAAAAATGTTAGGCAAAAACGGAAAAGCCTTTTTCATCATAATCAACCTCAGGCCTTACGATTAAACCAATTTCATGTTGATTGTATTTTGTTACCTTCTCTCTTCAAGTTAATCATCATTTAGATTATTTGATAATAACTCACGAATCTGCCGGTTGATAACTGTAAATATAACAATTGATCGTGTTCAATTAAAAGCTAATTTCATCAAGTTTATCTGAAATGTCCTCTGAAGCTTTGTTTACATTTACAGTTTTTCTGGTACCAACAATGGATATATTTTGTCAGGTAATTTCAATTCAATCTTTTTTTATCTCCTTTTGTTAACAATTAAATTTGCAAATTATCCAACTGATTCTTCAATTGTAAATGCTAATTCCATTCACTTTCTCATAATCATGTAAATTATCAGGATCAATCATCGGTATACAATAATATTCAAATGTAGATGTAAACATTGGTCACTTTTATTTTCATTTCAAACCTGATCTCAACCAATCTCACAATTACCACAACAATCATCATCACAATTAACATCAACATTACCATCAACCTCAACATAATTATGGTTAGTGAAAAATTGATCAACAAAACTTGGATAACTCAATACTGGCCAAGATAAAAGGTAGGATATCCCAATGAAAAGGTTAGGCCTAACCTAAAGGTGTTTTCATTGTATAATTTGTCATTATTATCAACACTTTTTGTTGATTAATTTACTTCTAATTACAAGTGTATTAAGCATTATTTAACAATTGTAACGATAATTATATTGAAAAGTAAAATTGAATCCTTGAGCGTTAAATTTAGACAATAATAGCTTCATGATTCTTCATTTAACTTGATTAACAGTTAATTGTTAATGTTTACCTCTTTTTTTCCTGTCTTTATCACCTTGTAAATGGAGGATCAAGTGTATTAAAAAAGATGCAAGTTAATTTTACTTTTTAAATTTTTAATCAGATTAATCGGGTTAACCTACAATCAAATGTAAACCCGTTTTCTGGTTCCAAGTATCTCATGGTAATACAGAATGAATTTTAACACACAAAAGACTGAAACAAATTGTGTTTTGTTTTACCTTTTACCTATTAATTTGATTACTCAAATCCTTATCATTTTGGTTATAATTTAGCAACAATCATAATAATAATTATCAACATCATCTTTTTGTTTCCATTTGAAACGTGATCTGAAGGATTAAACTATTATTTTCATATTAACCAAATTAAGCTCTTCTTTTGGATTATGGTTCAACAGCAATTGTAACAATAAGCTTAAACAATAGCGAAAACCTTTAGTTAATTTCAATTTAATTCACCTCTTTTTTTCCTGATTGTCATTGAAGGTTTAGCTAAATTAATCTAAATCATATTCCAAGAACGCAATTGAATATAAAAAACAGGAAAACCTGCAGTTTTCAGTTAAAACATGAAGCTTGTGGCAATTTAACTTGCACAATCAATTAATAGTTCATTGTTTCTGGTTTAATTACGTTAAGAAACAAAATCAATTGTTTAATAGCCATTTTACCCAATCAAGATATACTGCAAGATAACATCGCCTACGAGTGAATCTGGTTTCAACCAAAACTGTATCCAAGAATTGATTCTAGCCATTCAATTGTTATTATTATCCTGGTAAAGGTTCAAGCTGTGAATTATTATCATCATTTTAAATTAAAATTAAGATGAAAACAGGAAATTTAAAGTTAATCATTGGTGCGTCTATGTAAATCAGCTGTAAGCCTAGTTTAAAATAGCTGTCATTATTAAACCTGAAAATGGTGATTGGCGTTAAATTAATGTTTACAATGTCAATAGAGATTGACTTTCACTTATGTTAATGGCAGTTGAAATCAATTTAGTTAAGGTTAATTCAGTTATTTTCATGGATCCAGTTGAGGGTAAACGTGATAATCCTAACTGATTGGTTAAGGTATATAAAGCACCAGATGAGCAAGGTTTAACCACAGGGTTTACACTAATAGTATTAGTTAATCAACTTGATGACCACAAAATCCTGGTTCAATATTTTGGTTAAATTTTGTTCACTTTTAAATATTAAGTTAGAATTTTAGTTCCAACAAAATATTTTCTGGTTAATATCGCAATATAATAATGTAGTACCACAATTCCCGGCGGTGGTCTCACGATTAAGTCTTTAGTTAGATTAAATCTATCAATTTTGGTTCCATGGCAAAACGAAAATCAAAATTTAAAATGATTAACTGCCAAATATAATGATGTCCTAATCAAAATGGATATTGATCAAGCCTGAAAAGGTAAAGATAAAGATGTTATTGATGTTTCATTGAAATGATACAAAGTATTATGAAAATATGAAATATCTGAGACAATCAAAGTCTATTGTATACCTTTAGGTAATAATTGACTATTGAATCCTTTTTTGGTCATTCTGCCCATTCGCCATTTACATGGCCATGTAATGTGGGGATTAACACAGTGACCAGTTTTGATGATAAACACAACGCTTTAGCATCTTAATCTAAAGCTTCCTCCTTTTTTCCTCTCTTTCCCTGGTAAAATGAGTTAAAACCACCCAGATAGTTAAAACGTGATGGGTAAGGTTGGGATGATGATGAAGAGAAATAACTTTCAGGTAAATGAAGATCTCAAAGGTAAAGGAAAATATCTTCAAACTTATTGACAGTGATGGGCCATAAGGTAGGCAGGAATTAGATAAGGTAAAGATGAAAATGATAATGTTGCTGTTGATAATGATGATGAAGGAATCTGAGGCAACGTTGAATCGGCTAAAATCAAAGGTTGAATATGGGTTAGGTTCATTGATATCAAACTTGCCCTCAAAGTCGCTGGTTTTGGCTAAAAATATTACAAAAGTTTTTACTTTTTTTTTCTCAGCAAAATAATATCATGTTTATCTAGCCATTTTTTTTATTTGGGTGGGCCAAATATTCCTAACATTTTTCTGGCTCACAATTTGGCTGTGTTATTGAAAGAATTGAAAAATAATAGCAGTAATAATGATAACAATAATCACATGGGGAGTTTGAAGGCAACTCTGACCAAATTAAGACATTATTTTAGGTGTTTTTGGCCTGCTTTAGCTTTTGGCTTCAACAGTGTTCCTCTTGGTTGGGTCAAGTCGGTGAAGAGGAGGTGGAAGATGATGATTGGGATGAAGATGAGGAGAGAAAAGAGAGTTTTGGTAAAGAGAGGAACAAGGAGAAACCATTAAGGGTAACCAAGTTTACAGGTTAACGAGTAGTTAGCTGTTGGTGGTCAATGTCCTAAGGTTAAATAATGGCCACTTTCTCATGATGAAGTTATTGAGATTTGTAACTACACTTGATTTAATTTAACAATTTAATTGAGTTATTATCGAAAGATAAAATGAAATACAAAATACAAAAGATTAACAAAATAGTGAAAGTCGCCATTGATACACAATTGGGTATACCTTCATTTCGCCACTAAAGACGATTTCAAGATGATCTTCTTAAGGCTAGAGAGGGGTTTAACTCATTTTCAAAATGGAATTCAGAGCCTTATTTTGCTCAATTATTTTTACATATTGTTAGTTTCAATTTCACAATTTTAGTTTCATAATTTAATTTAGGATGGAAATCATTAATAGTACTAGAAGCTACAGAAAAATCAATTCACTGTGAATTTTATATAATTTTAACAAAAAATTGAATTGAACTCATATTACGGTGTAAGGAGTATGTTTGCAAGCTATTGGAAATTCATTAGATTCACTTGATCATCTTTATACTAATTAAATGTGAATAAATTTCAAACAAAATTTTGCCCCTTTTCGTCAGTTAAGTGAGTTTTAAGAGATTGAAAAGATCAAGCTTAGAAGCTTTAGTGGCGAAATGGAGGTGAACCACACAATTGTACTCAAAGCTAAATCAATCAGATTGAGACAGTTGACTCGGTGACTTAGAGACGATTGAATCTCAACTTAACAGCATTTAACACACGCTTAACGTCTTTTAGACACTTAAAACACTCAACAGTTAGATTGTTTGATGATATAACTGGATTTACAAGAATCCATAATCAGTTAAAATCATAAGTCAACAGAAAGTGTTTAGATGAGCTGATTAACCCAAAGCCGACTTGAGGAGATCTTGGTTTTTACTCGATATTCAGTGGCGATTTTGATTCTCAGCTGCGGAATAAACAATTTAGCTCGACAATCGATTTGGAAATTGATTAAAATGTAAATCAACTTCAGTGAAATAGCGATCAAAGATAAACCCAGCTTATACCAAGCACTTTCATTACTTGCATTTGAGTCAAGATATGAACTTCAAGAATAAAAAATTTTCATCAATCAAGAATCTTACAAGTTGTTACTCTTTATTTTCCTGCTAATTATTATCTGATTAATCGTAAACATTGATGAAGTTGTAATCCTAGCGAAGCAATGGCGATGATTCTGATGATAATGTAGATGTTGATGAAGATCGTGACTACATTTTAACATACATTTTGTGGCGCATCTTGTGTGTGTGTTTTCACTGAGAAACAGAGGAAAGTGGATAAGGAAAAGTGAGAGGGATTAAAGATGAACAAGAAAAATGATGATGAGGAAGAAGCAAGGGTGGGAAAAGACCACCGGTTTAAAGGCAGGGTGGAGCACGATTCACCTTGACTTGTGAGTTTTTCAGGTTACAATGGTTATGATGGTGTGCCGGTCAAGAGACAAGCGTTTAATTTTGGTTATACATAACATATGAAACTCACCAGCAACATGATAATATTTTTGACATCTTTACTTGAAGAGCCAAGAAAAGGCCTAAGGATGATAATTCAAGCTATAAAATACCAAGAATCCATCTCTTTGCAAGGTAAGAACATCATTCTTCATCATTGATGTTACTTCATTATTATTATTCAATTTTCTAGGTTAATCAAATGGTAAATGGTTACTCTCGATCCTTAAACATCTTCATCTTCATTACTTCTCCACCTTTTCCAGACCGTTAGAGGTTCCAATCTTGAACGTAACTTGCTTGGTGGTCTTTCAATAAATTACAGTCTGGTTACAAAATTTTGACCAAAAAAAAAGCAGCATCTTCATCTCGTTCATCATCTCTGCTTGGTCAGCCTAAAAAAACTCAAAAAGCCATTCAACTCATTGTATAACTTTCATTTTTGGCTATTTGCTTCTCTTGTTTATTTCTTGAACCCAATTTTGTTTACCTTGTTTCTGGTGAGATAATTACATTTATATTTGTATTATCATCATCATTATGATTAATGTTTCCTCTGGGTAAATATTTAAATGTAATATTTATATCAACATTTCAATTTGCAATTCAATTTTCAGGCCTTTGTGTCTGTCTTGTTACCAGTCGTTAAAGGTTAATCTGTTAAATTGTAAACTCTTCAACAACTCCAATGATTGATATTAAACCAGTTTTTTTTATCCAAATATCTAATATTCAAATGTATAAATGGATAAATGAGTTTCAATTTCAATCAAATTGATTTTCAATTGTTCCCATTGAAAATGTACATTTTAAATAACATTTGAAATTCAATTTACATTCATTAATTTAAATATCGCTTGATTGAGTTATAATTCAATTTCGAGTCAATATTTTTACATTGTTTGAATACAATAAGGTTTCATTTGGTTCATTTGAAGATGGTTTTAATGGTGAAATTTGCTCATTTTCAATACTAAATAATTAAAAATCAGAGGAAATGTTGTTCTGTAAACGGAAATTCCTATTGTAATCAACTAACCGAGACTTTACCTGTCAATCAAATTGTCTACAAACTTGTATTCAATTGAATGTTACCTTTTTTTGGTCACTGTTTGCCTCTATTCTTGAGTCAAAATATCAATTTAAAATTGTTGCTTCAATTATAGTCACAGGTCTTTGGGTTATAATTGGATGAAGCACTAACCAGATAACTCAAGCTTCCAGTTTACAATAATGATAGTAATATGATGATGATTCTAATGATGAAGACAGGTAAGATGGATAAACAATAGCTTGTAAAGAATTGGTTTAGGTTAATGTAAAGGTAGAGAGAGGAAGAAAAAAGAAGAAGAAGAAACAAGTTAAAGTAACAAATGAAGCGAATCACAATTTTATCAAAGGTCTGATGAACCTGATTTACTGATTATTTTACACACATTTAGCCTCTCTGTTATTAAGGAATCCAACATTGATTGTAGTCCGCATTTCCACCTTGATTTTTACAGCATTTCATTTCACTGTTTATGATGGTGATTAGGTTGAGGTTGATATTGAGATGAATGTTGATGTAATGGTGAAATGCCATTAGCCAAATGGTAAAATTGAAAGGCTGGAAACTCATCAATTGACAATCAAATTTGTTTTTCGGTTTGCTTCTGTAATGAGAAAAGATTGGGTTTAGTTAATTGTTTATTTCAAGTAAATTTAGCGATGACAATTTTTGGGTTAATCATCTTTTTTCTGGTGTATTAGCTTTCAAAACATTGTTTTACTGTATGACCTGGAAAAGGGTTTTATATGCAATTTAATATAAAAAACGAGTTAAACACAAGCAAACAATTGGATTGACTAAAAAAAGGTTGTAACAATCAGTACGATTAGATGGAGAAATACAATTTATTAATTTATCAATACAAGTTATTGCAAGGTTAAGTTGAGTAAAAAGAGTTATTTGTCTTTAGCTGGTTACATCAGCTGATGTGGAGATGATCTCACCTTTTTTTTGGGTGAACCCGAGCTAAACAATCAAAACAATTGATTAATTATTGAGAAATGATCGATCAATGATGATTACTGTTAACAATTAAAAGTACACAAGGCTGTGTGAAGGTAAAAGACAAAGGCCAAGTGTTGATCAAATTGTTACATCTTTTGTATCCAAGTGATCACAATGAGATTGGATGTTGTTGTATAATGATATCGACCCGTTGTTTTTTGGCCTTTTATCTGTAATTAGAACTGAAACAATTTATTTTATCTGCTAATGATCATAATCAGGATAACAATGAGTATGAAGATGAGCATCTTGATTCTGAGAAAGTGAATCAAGCGATTGCCGAAAGGGCGAAATGTTTACGTTTTTCATTTCGCTTTCAATAGGAAAAGGTAATTGTTGATGATTAGATTATCTTGATTATCTGTGTGATTAATGGGAAAAAGACTAATCAAGAAAATGATTGAGTTTATGGTTTTGTATTGGATTCATGAATATCACGTTGTATCTCACTTGATTCAATGATAATCTCATATTAACAGCAACAATTAAAAGATGTTAAAAGTGAAATCTTTTCAATCTAAAGATTCTGTTAAATCACAAACATAACACTACTGCAATGATTTTGAGTATTCATTGCAATCTTGGGTTAAGTTAATCAAGGGAAAGTTAAATTCGTGATCAACATTTGATTGATTTGATAACCACAGAGTAAATCAAGGTGAATGACTGAAACAATTCTGACTACAATCAAGTAAACAAACCTAGTTATTGCAGTCAATTATTAAACAAAAATTTAGGCTCATTTGGAGCTGAAATTTTCAAAATAGTTGAAACAATTTATGATTGATTCTGGTTTAATTTGTTTCAATTTGGTTTGATTTTTGTTTTGAGTTCAAATTTTTGGCTCTTAATGAATATTATTATTCAATGATTTACATAACATTTAATAACAATTATCTAATTTCTGGTTCATTGTTAAACCATCAAACACTCCTTAATCAGAATGGTTTCATTTCACCTTAAAGTCTAGTTATAAACAACCCTTAAAATTAATCAATCATCATCTGTTTAATCAAATAACTTTCTCAATAAATTCATTTCTATTCCAATTCACATGATTTCAATTCATTGTAAAGTTTTCCTTTTAATTTTTGCTCTTTTAATTTCTGCAAAGGCCATACAATTAGCCAACAAAGATAATCATTAGTTAATAATGATATTTAACTGATGATTACTCTTGCTTCAGGCAGATCTGTATATTAATATCAAGAAAGATAAATCAAATTTCTATTTCATAGCACATTAAAATGAAGTCTTACCTGATAGAGTAACCATTATTTGGAGGATTTTTTGGTTAAATTATTAAATGGAACAATCGACTTTGTGAATGTTAATTGCTATCAAAAAAAGGAACCAAACAAGAGGTTTAACCAGCCATGGTTGGAAAGGCTTTGGTCATTTGAAGCATTTGTTGCTCAAAAATGGTTGACCAATT